TTGGTTACTCATATGAAATTACTACACTAAAATCAACTAAAATTTAGCCAGTTATGTTTACTGACCAAAAAGATCGTGGTTACCTCCGAACGTTCTCTTTTGTTGAATTTTGTGAATGCAAGGATGGTGAGTTTCATGCGCTTAAAATCCTTCATTTTTATGCGAAGGAACAGTCCATCGCAAATATCTTTTAACAGATACTTTAGTATAACCTTTTTTACCTCAAGGTTTTGTTAATATTTTCTTTTTTTAACTCTATTTAAACGTATAATACATTCATGACAGAAGTGTCTATTTCTAACTTACATCCGAGGTTATCACAGTCGCGTACTCGGCAACTATGTTTCCCCAGTTTCTGCGGAAACGTATCAAAATCCCCTTATCGTAGTTTGTATTTGGCTGAAGTGATGCTCTTTCTGTTACACATTTTATGTTTTGGTTTTTGGTTTGCAGTTGTCTTCGACTTCAAAATCCATCATCGGTTCACACATGATGGCCGTCCGTCATTCCTTATCACTGTTCCTTACAGTATTTTCCCTGTACAATATTGTTTATTCGCTCTAAATACTCAAGTATCAAAATGCCTAAATCTATATTCAGTAGTCTTTTGACTTTTTGCTGAAAATGTAGCCTTCAGTTCAGTTCCAGATTGGAAACCACTCCTTTTGGCCCTCCCAATGATATATTTTTGCCTGCCCCTTCCACTTAATATTTTTCCAAATATTATACCCAATTTGCTTATTAGTGAAATTCATTGTTTAAAGTTTTCTATCAACTGCCATTTTAATATAAATAACATATCAACTTTCTAGTCTCACAGAAAGTTTTCTGCCCTCGTCATGGTTCCAAAGGTTTCTTGCCTCAGGCGATGCAAACGTCATCGTGGTAAGGTCAAGTCCTTTCCCGGTTGATAAGACCACCTCATCTGATGCAGCATTCAATAAGGCTGGAATGACACATGTGTTATGAAAGTTAACAGACCTGGTTCTAGTATGTATTCAATGTGAATCATTAATATTATTAATAAGTGCAATTCTCTGATATATTTTGAGTTTTATGGAAACATTTCAAAGCTACTTGAATGTGTTGGTTTATGTTATTATGTTCATTTCTGTTTAAATTAGGTAGGTTGATGTATGAAGAAAAACCGATATCAATGTATCAATTTTTGATATTTTTTGTATATGTATATTTCGATATATCGAAAAACCAATGTCAATACACTGATATTAAAAACCCTGATATTTATCGATATTTCGATATACCGCAACAGCCTACAAATAGGATTGTTGGTTGTATTTTTTCATGTCTTTTTTATTCCATTGCCTTATCAAAGTTAACAGAGTTAGGCCCTTGTTATAAGAACTTAGCAAGTTTGTCTTTGTATCCCCAAGCAGAACAGTGGAAGACTGTAACAGCGCATATCTAGATAAAACTGCCCCAAGACACAATTACTATCCTATACTTTGTAACAACTTAATTATTGTCAATGGCTGAAGCTAACAACAGAATTACTTCGCGGAATGTCAAACATGATTATGTGAGAACGCCCACAAATATTATTTCTCACACACAACTGGCAGCTGTTGCAGCCAATCTGTAGCAAGCTTGACATTTATGACTCATCAAAACAACTAATATAGCTACTATTACATCGCTAAAAAGGCCTGCTACCTAGAATAGCTTAGACTGAACAGTCTTAAATCTTGACAGTCTTATGTACTTAGTGCTCCATTCGCCAGACTATAGTCAAGCTGCATGGATACCACATCAAAATATGCTTTATATAACTTACATCACCTGCCACGCTGATTCACAATCGGGCTCCCAAGGGTGTTTGAGAAAACATTTTTCACTGTTTTTGTTTCTCATTTGGTGGAAAATGGTACTTTTTCTTGATAGTGTGAATTTTTCAAAATCCTAGAAATTCACAAGAAGGAAGTTGTCGAAGCTGTTACAATTGTGGAAACACCACCCATGATAATTGTGGGTATTGTGGGATACATTGAAACTCCCCATGGCCTCCAATGACAACAGTATGGGCTGAGCATTTGAGTGAAGAATGTCGCAGACGCTTCTATAAGAACTGGTAAGTATAAAAGACTGTTGAAACTAGGCTAACATGGTTGTTTGCACTAAAGTAAATGGTTTGAACACGGAGTATCATTACATGTTTGTAAATGTACATCGTCCAGGTTGGTATAGTCCTGAGAAGGACTGTTTTGTTGTTGTTGACTGACGCTTCGACAACCTTAGCTGTAGTCGCCTTCAGGTTACGCTAACCTGGCATTTACTCCTCATATGACTCTGAAGATGACTTCCACTATAGTTGTCGAAACATCAGTCAACAACAACAAAAACAGTCCTTCTCAGGACTATACCAACCTGGATGATTTACAAACATGTTGTTTGCTCTATCAAAAAACTTTGGGAACTTATTGCCTGTTCGTATGAGACTGGTTAGCGCGACATCTCAATGAGTGAGCCAAATATTACCTTGCTTTCATGTGAGAATCATCCCGCTACCTATGATCTTGCCTCAGTAACCAAGATCTTAGCAACTGGGCCAGCCTGCTTTCTCATATGAACATGACATAAATATTAATAGTAAATGTATTGCAAAGCAAGATCATAGGTAGGCAAGATGTCTAGATAACCAGGCTCGTATGAACAGGCCTTTAAACATATCGCTCAAAAAACTCTAATTACAAATGTCCATTGCTGATCGACTCGTCCCTTAAGCATTGGATCTCCTCTCAGGGTTATTTCCCGATGAGATCCAAGCATTTCCTTTTGCAAGTAATAGAATGGTTGCCCTGCCACTTCCTAAGGTGTCGTTCAAAGAAGAAAGCGTTCACCAAAGCATGTCGTAAATGGGGTGATGACGAAGGCAAAGAAAGCATTGATAAGGATCTGGAACGAATGAAAAAGTATTGTAAAGTGATTCGTGTCATAGCACATACCCAGGTATTTCTTTATAAATTCAAGACATTGAGACTTTAAAAGAAGATATTTTGTCAAAAAATATTTTTTGATTCGAGATTAGAGATTTCCTAATTGTTGATGAGATTGAATGCCTCCAACCAAGTGCTACAAAGTTGATATTTTGAAAATTTTTCTACAGCAAAACTGATCAAATTCGCCAAAAGAAAGCTCACGTGAATGGAGATTCAGGTAATGGAGGTGATATCTGAGAAAGTGGACTGGGCCAAGGAAAGATTGGAAAATCCAGCACCAGTCTCCAAGGTTTTCAGCAAAGATGAAATGATTGATGTGATTGGTGTTACAAAGGAAAAGGCTTTAAAGGTCTGATAGTACATAACTTACTGTTGGTTTCTAGTGGTGTAGTAGTAGTGCACTTGTAGTTAGTACCTTACCAGTAGTTGTTAGCTTACTGGTAGTTTGTAGTTTACTGGTGGATTGTAGTTCACTGGTTGAGTGTAGTTTACTGGTGGATTGTATCTCAATGGTGGATAGTAGTTTACTGGTGGTTTGTAGTTCACTGGTGGATAGTAGTTTACTGGTGGATTGTAGCTCAATGGTGGATAGTAGTTTACTGGTGGATTGTAGCTCAATGATGGATAGTAGTTACTGGTGGATTGTAGTTTACTGGTGGATTGTAGCTCAATGATGGATAGTAGTTTAGGATTGTAGGTTACTGGTGGAAAGTAGTTTACTGGTGGATTGTAGTTTACTGACATTAGTTTACTGGTGACATTAGTTTACTGGTAGTTTGTAGCTTAAATGTTGGATAGTAGTTCACTGGTGATAGTAGCTTTACTGGTGGATAGTAGTTAAATGGTGGATAGTAGTTACTGCGGATAGTAGTTTACTGGTGGATAGTAGCTGGTGAATAGTATTTTACTGGTGGATAGTAGTTTACTGGTGGATAGTAGTTACTGGTGACATTAGTTTACTGGTGGACATTAGTTTACTGGTGGACATTAGTTTACTGGTAGTTTGTAGTTCAATGTTGATAGTAGTTCACCGGTGATAGTAGCCATAAACATTAGTTTACTGGTGAAATTAGTTTACTGGTGGACATTAGTTTACTGTGGACATTAGTTTACTTGTGACATTAGTTTACTGGTGGATAGTATTTTACTGGTACTAAGCAGCTTACTAGTAGTTAGTGGTTTACTAGTAGATTAAAGTTTATTATTAGGAAGTAGTTACTAGTAGTTTATTGTTTATCGCGCTAGCTTTTGATCTCTCTTTTTCCCTAAGGTGTCACATACCGTTGGGGTACCAAGAAATTGCCTCGTAAACCCATAAAGGTTTAAGAAAAGTAGCTTGTATTGAGCATGGCATCCAGCAAGAGTTTCATTTGCTGTGGCTCGTGCTGGTCAATGGTTACCATCATAGGACTGAAATGAATAAAAGATTTATCGTGTTGGTGCTGGTATTCATACCAAAGATGGTAAGGTGATAAAGAACAATGCTGCCACTCCATTTGATATTTCTGACAAGAGCATTACACCAATGGTGAGTTGCACTATGTTTCTACAAGATTGCGTATCTTCTAGTGCAGGGGTCTCCAACTACGGCCTGCGGGCCAGATGGCCCTGGGCCTCTCAATCCGGCCCGCTGAGACACTTAAGGAAAAATATTATTAAAACAAAATAAACTTTGTGCAGAAAGTTCACGTTATGACGCAAACCAACTAGCAAGAGTGGCTTACGTCAATTTTGTCCCAACTTCCTACTGAGATAGAATTGCCATATTAAACTGCAGTAAGATGGCTGTTGTGGAAAAGTGCAGTCAAATGTTTTGAGCTAAGAAAGGAGCTATTTTCTTAATCAATAAAGCTTGTGTTATGTACTTGTTTTATTAAAATACCTGCTCTTTGACCAGCGGTATGCGGTTCGTCGACCCAACAACATGCTGGATGAAAGTTCATGTGGCCCTATGGCTGTAAAGTTTGGAGACCCCTGTTCTAGTGTATGTGATTGTTGACTTCGTTCGACTATTTCGTGCTAAATGTCAAATTGATACTATTAGGTGGCTTCCCACATTATGGTGAAGTAAATGAAGACTTTTTGATGTTGAAAGGATGTGTTGTTGGTCCAAAAAAGCGTGTGTTAACACTAAGGAAGGTTTGTGTAAAACAATCTGTTGTCTTAAATCAAAGGATCATTACATTTGCTATGCTTTCAATACGGGAGGGGGGGTCAAGATGATTGTAAACAACATCACATTCAGACGATTGCACATTTCCAAATGCGGGAAGGAAATCAGTAAAATCTTTACCCTAGCTTGCTCAATGCTAGAAATAGCCAGAATAAGTAACTTTATTTTATTTATTGATGAGGTCAATGAATTAATCAACTGTACATGATTGTTTATAGTCACTACTTGTGCAGACAAGTCGTAAAGCAACTGAGGAGATTAATCTAAAACTCATTGACACTTCCTCTAAGTTTGGTCATGGTCGCTTCCAGACTGAAGAAGAAAAGAAGGCTTTCATGGGTCTGTTGAAGAAGGACAAGGAACGTGAAGAAGCTGTCGAAGTTTAAGACTGATGATAGTTCTCTTCACTTAAAATAAATTGTTTGAAAGCTCATTTTGTTCTCGTTTATATTTTGAGATGCTTCGAGGTAAATTAGTAGAAATTGTTTACAAACAGCCCTATGTAAGATCTAAGCAATCGCTACTTAAATTCAATATCATGAAAATCATGTGGCTTTCACAAGATCTCGAACCTTCAGTATAATTCACCGCCACTCAATCCCTGTAGCTATCAACCTTTCAGGCATTGGAGACCGCCCAATGCAAAACCCTGCCCTAACCTAATATGAAATGCGTGTGATTTCCGAAAGCCTGGGTACAAGATAGCGATGATACTAGTACATTAGTACATACAGTTGGTCGTTCCCATGACTGTGAACTTGGAGAGTAGGTGGAGTTGACTACCTAGTTGAGATAAATTCTCAATTTGTGACGGAACGAGCTCTGAATTTGGTGCTTCTATATGCGCTTAGCAATTTTCAATAATGTATTTTGGCATGCTCTTTGTCTTCTTAAGCTTGTTTTGACAAATGCATATCAAATTCATCAACACTTTCTAACGCCACTGTAATATTCGTGACAAAAACCATGACCAGCCGACAATTTAAAGAGTATAATATAGTAATTAATAAGACATTGATTGAAAATATGAATGAACAAGACGAGAAGTAAACTGTAAATTTTCGACTTTATTTCAAAGTCATCCTCGAAAAAAGTCGAAAATTTACAGTTTACTTCTCGTCTTGTTTTGATTCATATTTTGCAATCTCAAGATGTCTTGTTTCTTCGCAATTTGCTTTATATTCGTGACAATGTTAGATATGTTTTTATTTTCTCTATAACTTTGTATCTGCATATTTTGTGCATAAACAATGCTCCAATATTTATGACAGATATTATAATTCGTGAATTGAGGTAGAAGAAATACTTGAAAATGAAACTTCCAACATTGAATATCTTAAAAGAACTATCAACTTATTATATTGCTTCTTAAAATAACTATCAACTTATTATATTACTTTTACCATTCACTATGGTATTTGCTATCTTTAGAACTCTTAAAGAAGTCGCTCGTGCTTAAACAGCAGTTTTTTCAGTGTAACTTATGTTTACTTCAAATATCGAATCACTAAACCTTTTAACTCGTTTTGGAAAGTCTCATAACTCAGAAAAGGAAAATATATTCGCTCGTTTTTTTGCCAACTTTTGTTTTTGTCAGATAATATTTCAGAAATTAAACGACTTTGCACTATGTAGTTTCTTGAGTAAAATATTCAATGCCTCTACTATAGTCAAAGCTAAGTATTGAAGGTATTAAACAAACAGAAAAGGGTGAAATTTAGCGATTTAAAAGTGTATTTTCGAAAACTAAGGTTACAAAGGACTGCACACTACAAAACACGGCTTCAATTTCCTGAGTTATCATTCCAGTATACTTATTAGTATATTCCAGTATAAAATAATTTGTATACAGGTCAGTGATGGATAGCGGTGGCGGAACTTTGTCATGAAAACATCTTTATAAATGTTTGTTGAGAGTTCGGTCTTAGAAACTTTAAAATTTCTGTTGTGTACGGTGTAAAGTATTTTACTTACAATGGAGGAAGATTGGGAAGCTCTAGCATATGAAGATGACTTCAGACGTTATGCCGATGAGTTGGAGCTGCTCAACGAAATGGAAGAAGGTACTTTAGATTTTGGAGTATCTTTGACTTTTGACTCCATATTCGATATGGAAGACCTGGCTTCAACATCCAATGATTTTCAAATGAAAACTTTTACTTTAACTATTTTGATGCATTTATTGACATTGATTGTCGTTGTCTTTCTAGTTGGCTGGAGAAGTTTTGAGCCGTAGGCGAAGGCCAAACTTTTGTTGTGTTGTGTATATAACTTGATAAAATTTACTTAACTTTCAAGTTTTCAAATAAAGGAATCAATAACGCAATAATTTTTCTTTTTAAGAGGAAAACATCAAGACAAGGAATCCTAGCCATTATACATCAAGGAAAACATTAGTTTTTGCTACGCCTGATAAATCTTCAAAGGTATCTTTAGAGGATCCCAACCAGTACAAGAGGGACATTACAGAGGATTTAAACGCCAAATTGATAAGATGTATGACCTTTTGTCTAATGAAGAAGATAGTGACGATGCATTAAACAGTAATGATCATATTTTGAATTCAAGTGAAAACAAGCGAAGTTAGACTTGATTTAAATACTGTTTCAACTATTGACTCAGCTAACCGTACTTTTAATGAAAATGAAAGTTACCGTTCAACTACACATTCAGTTAATGCAAGGCCTAAAGTGTTTACCAGGCCACTTATTGGTGAAGATTGTGTATCAGTTACTGGAACAGATGGAGGAAGAAGAGTGTATCTTCATATTAAAAGAGAGGAATCAAAAGAGGTTTTTCTGCACGTCATCAAAATTAATTGTGTACTTGTTGAAAGTTTTATGACCACTTTTAAATTGTTTGTTATTTCCTTGCTTCTTCATTCAGATGGTCAAAGCAAAGTTCTTGGATGGCAAGACTCCAGTTAATCTTCTTGGTGTTCCTTTTTCTGTTCTCAGAGAAACAATTTATGAAGAAGTAAGTCATATTTGTCTTCGCTAAACTTTTCTCCCATGGAAGTAGCACCAGATGATTTAAGTTAACTAGAGATGATGTAAGTTTGCTAGAGATTGTGGAGATTTGCTAGGGATGATGGAAGTTTGCTAGAGATGATGGAAGTTTGCTGGGGATGATGAAGTTTGCTAGAGACAATGGAAGTTGGCTAGGGATGATGGAAGTTTGCTAGAGATGATGGAAGGTTGGCTGGAGATGATGAGAGGTTGGCTAGGGATGATGGAAGTTGGCTAGGAATGATGGAAATTGGCTGGAGATCATGGAAGTTGGCTAGGGATGATGGGAGTTGTCTAGGGATGATGGAAGTTGGCTAGGGATGATGGAAGGTGGTTAGGGATAATGGAAGTTGGTAGGGATAATGGAAGATGGCTAGAGATGATAGAAGTTGGTTAGGGATAATAAGACTGCCAAGGATGATGGGAGTTGGCTGGGATGAATGGAAGGTATTGTTTTTATTGAAGTTGTTCGATTCTTTATGTTTTCATACAATTCATTAGAAACGCCTCAAATTGCTTGAAGAATCAAGAAAACTTACAGAAACATTAAATAAGTATGTAAATGATGTGTTTGTTTTAGTGTAATGGGTGTTTTATGAATTCTGTTGTTTTTTGTAGTGTTCTCACAGATGAATTAACGGGCAACAACGGAAATGATTGCAAAAGAACAGGTTCCTGAAAAGAGCAAATGAAATCACTTTGGGTTGATAAATATTCTCCAGATCATACATAGAATTGCTTAGTGATGATGTAAGTAACAATTTTGAAATGTTAAAAGTAGTGCAATGGTAAAAAAGTGCAAATGTACATGAACATTTTATTTGGATAAAAGTATAAATGTGTTAGAGCTTTAAAAGTTCTAAAGAGGGCGGTTAATTTTGCTTAGTTAAAGAGGCGGTTACTTTAGAGAGGGGTGGTTACTTAGAGAGGGGGGTTACCTTTAGAGAGGGCTGTTTTTAGAGAGGGGTGGTTACTTTAGGGCAGTTACCTTTAGAGAGGGGTAGTTACTTTATAGAGGGGTGGTTACTTTAGAGAGGGGCGGTTACTTTAGATTGGGATGATTATGTTAGAGAGGGGCGGTTACTTTAGAGACGAGCGGTTACTTTAGAGAGGGCGGTTACCTTTAGAGAGGGGCGGTTACTTTACAGAGAGGTGATTACGTTAGAGAGGGCGGTTACTTTAGAGAGGGGTGGTTACTTGAGATTGGGATGATTACGTTAGAGAGGGCGTTACTTGAAAGAGGGGGTGAGTTACTTTAAAGAGGGCGATTACGTTAGAGAGGGGCCGTTACTTTAAAGAGGGCGATTACGTTAGAGGGGCCGTTACTTTAAAGAGGGGCGGTTACGTTAGAGAGAAGTGGTTACTTTCGACCGAAAGGCTTTTTCAGTGAGAGGTTGCTTTCAAGACTCTACGGTGTAAGTCTGATTAAAAGTTCTTCGTGATTATAAATGTACTTTGTAACGAAGACTTTAGAAATGCTTCCATGTGTTTTCTTTCTTGTTTTTTCCAGGGCATCAACAGGAATTTGTTGACATGGTTAAAACTATGGGACGGTGTTGTTTTTGGAAAGGAGAACGTCAAGACAAGAAGGAAGCATGATGAGAAAATTCAAAAAAGGAAAATAAACGAAAACATTTCAATTATAAAGAAGAACATGATGAAGCAATGGTGAGATAATGGTTTTTTCCCGTTACCATACTCATTACGGTAATTTTTCATGTTTGCTGAATACAAATTTGATAGCAATGTTTTTATTGCCTTCACGACGGTATTTCTGCTCACACCTTTGATGGAACAGGACTTAATCTTTAGATAATCACTCGGTTAATATTGAGTTTGGATTTTAGCAAAACGTTTTTGCTCAGTTCGGTGCAGAGTGCTGGCTAGATATAAACCTCCCCCAGAGATTAACAAAATAGGTGCATTAGATACAGTTCACCCTCCCCTAAATAGATACATTACCGAGATATTGTGCATCCTCCCCACAGAAATAGACAAAATGCGATGCATACGTAAATACCTGCAAAATGTTTTGTAATTATCTCTCCTTGATTTTTTAGGAACTCGATGTGACTGGACGACCATCTCACAAGGTTCAGTATTCAACAACATATACAGTTATACTGGTTGCTATATCTCTTGTCCTTGCTGTATTCCGTGACAAAATATTTTATAGTTTTTGCCATTGTTTGTGAATGCGTTTCAACAACAGGCAATGATATTTCAGTAGCCGATCCTGTGTTAAGCAACATAAATTACATCAGTCCATATGGTGGATTTTATTGTTTGAAAAATATTACCAGTGACATTGTTCGAAAGATATTTCAAATGACCAGTTTTATTATTTGTTCTGCCTAACTCTGGATCCGCTAACGTGATAACCGTTTGTTCCATTCATAACTGTATTACCCACTTTTTGTTTTCATTTACCCTTGAAAATGTTGTGATGACGAAGAGTCATCTTTGACCCTCTACTTTTCAACTTTTTGCTCCTTTGCATTTCGATGGTTTCCTTTGTTTTGCCATACGGAAACGCTGAGAAACAAAAGATTAATGTCGTCTTTAGTACAAGATATGTCAATCAAAGGTGAATTTACTTGGGATTGTAAAGCTGTGGGCGTCCAGGTGTCCACACAACCATAACCTTTTTAGAGGGTGGTTTTCCTTATGGAGGTACACTCACAAATTTAGCTTATTGCTTGAACATTTATGATGCATTATGTGCTAGTTTTTAAAGGTGTAGAAAATTTTCAAATTAATGAACGAGCGCCGAAGGAACAGGAAATTTAAATAGTTTAAGCAATTAACGAAATATGTATGTCAAAGGATTTTGGAGGTTTTTGTAATGTTTGCTAGAAAAGGAGAAAAACTGATTGAAAATAACTAAAATGAAACAGTTACATTACAATCCTAAGTTTCTTGCGTTATCACATCGCGAACATGGAGCTGCCAAACTTTCGAAAGCCAAAACCCTGCGATTTGTGTCTAGTAGGCGAATGAATAGTACCAGCTAGTAGGAGCGAATGAAAGGTACCTGAAGGCATGGAAGTCTTGTGCTGCACCACAGAATATAAAACCAGCTATGAATGGCACCATTAGTAGGGGCGAATGAAAACCAATAGTAGGGCAAATGAAAGAAAAAGAAATAGAAGGAATGAAAGGAAATTGAAGAAGGAATGGAAATGAAGGAATGAAATGAATGAAATAGTGGAAATGAAGGAATGGAAATGAAGGAATGGAATGGAAGGAATGAAAGGAAGGAATGAAGGAAAGAAGGAAAGGAATGAAGGGGAATGGAATGGAAGAAGGAATGGAAAGGAATGAAGGAATGGAATAATTAAGGTATGGAGCCTTATATCTCTGTCAACGTTGAGATAATTTGAAAAATCATGCATATGACACACACAAGAACTGTACTAAGAGTCAAGTGACTCTGAAGATGACTACCGCTAAAGTTGTCGAATCGTCAGTCTACATCAATACCAACAGTCCTTCTCAGGACTCTACTAACCTGCACGATCTACATCCACAGACATGTTACGATATTCAGGTTCAACCAGTCACACACAAAGACGCCGTCAAAATCTAATCCAAACTAGAACACCCACTCCACAAAACATCCGGGACACATCCTTGTGTGTGTTTTAATCTTAATACATTCTCAGATCTATTGCGATGTGACGTCATTTCTTTCACGGCACCACTGATATGTATATAATATCTGGATAGTGCATGCATGTATGCTATAAAGTGCGAAAATTGAAGCTGGAAGTTTGCTCATTTGCTTACGACCTCGTGGGCACCACTGCACTTTTGTATTATAAAATCACAGTTATAGAGTTTTCATTCTTTTACAAACATTTGATTAGAGCAAAATTTTTATCAAATGGACAAGAAGACCGGTAGAGAATTTTAATCCTTTAAGTTTTGTTTTATTGGCTTTGTAACGCCAGAAAATTGAGGTGGCACAAGTGCGCGAACACGAATCAGATCGGATTTTTTCACTAGAAGCATCTCTTCTTGTTATTTTAAATGTCCAAGAATAAAAAAGCGATGGTGAGAATATAAAACGCACGAAAGCCTAAAATGATCACATCGCCCATATATATTTATAGAAATGTAAGGCCTACGCTCTGCACAAACTTCGGTTAAATTTTAACAATGTATGCGCCATCCATATATTATACATATCAGTGGACGCCACAGAACATGGGTGATTTGGCGTAATGTTTTGATTTCAGATTGCACTGTTGTGTGGTCCGCCTGGTCTTGGTAAAACGACATTAGCACACATAGTTGCTCTACATGCTGGATACAATGTTGTTGAATTGCCGCTTGGTTGTTGTATATTGTATCTTTTGTTTCGGAATGTTGCTTTGTTGACCCTTTGCATGGTGTTGCGTGAGAGCAACAATCACCGAACACGTTGGAGCTCGGTCGGCGAAAAATCATGCAACAATGGGATAATGGTACAAGAAACTGTGGCGTACGTGCTGTGTACGTGCACGAAAGTCTTCGTGAAACTCATGCACCGCAACGCAAAACACGCGCGACAACATACATGAGGCTGCTGTCTGATGAAAGCTGCTGTCTGGTGAAAGCTGCTGTCTGGTGAAAGCTGCTGTCTGATGAAAGCTGTCTGGTGAAAGCTGCTGTCTGGTGAAAGCTGCTGTCTGTGAAAGCTGCTGTCTGGTGAAAGCTGCTGTCTGCAACAGATGCGGCTGCGAGCGAGTTTTGTCGAATTAACCCTAGCTGCATGCGTTGCTTCACAGCAACCACCGAACACGATGGAGCCTCAGTCGGCGAAAAAATTCATGCTACAAAGGGTTAATCAGTCGTCGGTTGACAAGTTGAACGGTGCTGAGGACAGTGTTGTAGCCAATCCTCAATTTGGTCGTGCTATGTAAATTTCAGATCATTATCAATGTTCATTTCTTTAGTAATCTATTATTTTTACATAGAGTGAACGCATTAGCATTTACATAGCATGAATAAACTTGCGGCAGAGGCTGGCCGATCTCTTCGTGACTTGCAGGGAAAACTCAGACAGAGGTGCTGTTTGTAACAAGTAGCCATTTTTATTTGGGGAGAGGAATGTGCTTGCGATGCTGTATTGAGCTTAAATTATTGCTGCTACTTGAAGAGTTCTAACATTCTTCCAAGTAAAATTTTTTTGAAAACCGGGCGGTAAAGACTATATAGACCACATGGGCGCACCGAGAAATTTTCCCGGTTTCATTATAGGCCAGTCCACCTCTGACTTGCGGGCTGGCTACCACACTGGTTGGGGGAATGTTATAACCGATACATAGTTACTCACACAGAGATATCACTCTTGTTGAATGGAGTGACGCGCGCAATTATAGCGCATTTTTCTGTGTTTTAGCATTTGTGAATAGTTATGGTTTGTTTAGTTTCTTTTATACCTTTAGCGATGATCGTTCAGTGGAGGTGTTTCGAAATAAGATTGAGTCCACAACTCAGATGCAGTCAGTTTTAGACTCAGGCAAAAGACCTAACTGCCTTGTTATTGATGAAATCGACGGAGCACCGACAGTACGTAATGACTAACAACATGCTGCAAGCTCAAGCCATTATATGATGCACATAACACAATTTTGTAAAAATTTCGGCAAACTTTTGCTTTAAATGTGAATTATTAGTAAAATAGCATTCTCGTGCAATACTATTCCATATTGATTTTGTGAAAGTATCTTGATGGGAAATCACGCATGCGTAGTGAAAAAATACGCCCCAATTTCGCCGAGTGGGCCTTTTGTTAGATGTCTATTCTGTGGTTTAAGTCTTAGACATATATGATACAACAGACTACTCCCCGTTCTCTTTTGTCTGCGATAAAACCACTTTGCTTTTATTTCGGCTTGCCGTTTGACTTTCCATGTTTTATTTCAGCCTGCAATAAACGTTTTGCTCTCTTTGATAAAAAGAAGGATGCAGACTTACAGAGTATGAAATTTTGACATAATTTTTATGGAGGGGAAAACCTCAGAAGCTCATCGTGTTTTTGAAAACATTCCAGAAGCATCCAATGACGAGAACGCGCAGAAGAAACGCAAGAAACGATATAAACACGTTATTTTATCTCGTCCGATTATATGTATTTGCAACGATCCGTAAGTAGGTGTTTTTTTTTCAACAAAAATTATGAAGACTGGCAAGCCTCGTCCCAGGCTTCCTTTAAAAGTGTGTTCGCAGTCGCAGATCATATTTCCGTTGGTGGTGTTCTACAATACTGACATAAATCAGTTTTGTTGTGGTGTTATTTTGTATCTCTTGTCTTGTGTTGATTCCATTGTGTTGATTCCATTGTGTTGATTCCATTGCGTTGATTCCATTGCGTTGATTCATTTGTGTTAGTTTACTTGTGTTAGTTTACTTGTGTTGTTTCAGTCGTGTTATTTTAGTTGTGTCAGTTTATTTGTGTTTGTTCACTTGTGTTGTTTTCTTGTGTTGTTTCAGTCGTGTTATTTTAGTTGTGTCAGTTTACTTGTGTTTGTTCACTTGTGTTGTTTTCTTGTGTTGTTTCAGTTGTGTTATTTCATTTGTGTCAGTTCACTTGTGTTAGTTTTCTTGTGTTGTTTCAGTTGTGTTATTTCATTTGTGTTAGTTAACTTTTTATAGTTTATTTGTGTTAGTTTTCTTGTGTTAATTTAATTCTAGCTTCTCTTTGATTTGTAGCTATGTGCCTGCGCTGAGGCAACTTCGTCAACTAGCGTTTGTGCTGACTTTCCTCTCCACGATGTCAGGCAGACTGGCTCAAAGATTACTTGAGGTATTCATCTTCCTCGATTTCAAGCTATGCTTCGGTGTTTAGTCTGGTAAAAGTGGAAAATTTTTAAGAGCACGCCCACGTACCCTCCCTGCTCCCCCCTCCCCGATATGCTTTTTTAAAACTTCATGTCTTAGGCCCTCCCTGCTTACAGTCACGACAGGAAGGTTTTGAGGGATGACGAGTGAAATATTTTTTTGTTTTGAGGGATGACGAGTGAAATATTTTTTGTTTTGAGGATGACGAGTGAAATATTTTTTTGTTTTGAGGGATGACGAGAGACATTTTTTGTTTTGAGGGATGACGAGGAAACATTTTTTGTTTTGAGGGATGACGAGTGAAACATTTTTTGTTTTGAGGGATGACGAGTGAAATATTTTTTGTTTTGAGGGATGACGAGTGAAATATTTTTTTGTTTTGAGGGATGACGAGTGAAATATTTTTTGTTTTGAGGGATGACGAGTGAATATTTTATTGTTTTGAGGGATGACGAGTGAAATATTTTTTGTTTTGAGGGATGACGAGTGAAATATTTTTCTGTTTTGAGGGATGACGAGTAAATATTTTTTGTTTTGAGGATGACGAGTGAAATATTTTTTGTTTTGAGGATGACGAAAAAATATTTTTGTTTTGAGGGATGACGAGGAATATTTTTGTTTTGAGGGATGACGAGTAAAATATTTTTTTTGTTTTGAGGATGACGAGTGAAATATTTTTGTTTTGAGGGATGACGAGGAAATATTTTTTGTTTTGAGGGATGAGTGAAATATTTTTGTTTTGAGGGATGACGAGGAAATATTTTTTTGTTTTGAGGGATGACGAGGAAATATTTTTTGTTTTGAGGGATGACGAGTAATATTTTTTGTTTTGAGGGATGACGAGGAAATATTTTTTGTTTTGAGGGATGACGAGGAAATATTTTTTTGTTTTGAGGGATGACGAGGAAATATTTTTTTGTTTTGAGGGATGACGAGGAAATATTTTTGTTTTGAGGGATGACGAGTGAAATATTTTTTGTTTTGAGGGATGACGAGTGAAATATTTTTTGTTTTGAGGGATGACGAGTGAAATATTTTTTGTTTTGAGGGATGACGAGTGAAATATTTTTTGTTTTGAGGGATGACGAGTGAAATATTTTTTTGTTTTGAGGGATGACGAGTAAAATATTTTTTTGTTTTGAGGGATGACGAGTGAAATATTTTTTGTTTTGAGGGATGACGAGTGAAATATTTTTGTTTTGAGGGTGACGAGTAAAATATTTTTTGTATTGAGGGATGACGAGTGAAATATTTTTTGTTTTGAGGGATGACGAGTGAAGTATTTTTTTGTTTTGAGGGATGACGAGTGAAATATTTTTTTGTATTAAATTAAGGTGTCGAGAAAGGAACTATTTCAAACCGATATGTCTACATTACTGGCACTCTGCGAAAAGACTGAGAACGACATTCGATCGTGTCTTAATACTCTCCAGGTTTTAATCCATTTTCACATCCACAAGTTCTTCATGTAGGCTTTTTTCTAAAGAAATGCTAATCTTCACAGTTTTTTTCTTTCTTATTAGTTTCTTCGACAAAGGGGGGAAGTTTTAAGCATTGAGTACATCCAGTCAGAAAACATCGGTCTGAAAGATAGTCAGAAGAGCCTGTTCTCTTTATGGAAAGCGGTATTTCAACTACCAAGGGCGAAGAACAAGCGGCTTGCCACGTTGATCGAACCACTTAACGAACCTTCTCCGATGTTACCTGAGTTTGGTTCTGATGACCCACGAGGGCATCCGGTCTCAAAAACTCCGCGGCTACATTTTATAACTTGCTTCACTTGGTATCATCTAACGGCCAGTATAACAAACTAGAGAACGGTAAGATAGATGCTCGTCATCGTAACTATAGAAACAGCCTCATCCATTTTCCTTTAGCAGTCAGTGTTGTTGTGCACACATAGGGCTCAAAATAAACGTCGGTCAGCGGAAAATGACATGTCGAAAATGCTTTTGACCGACCAACTTTTACCTCACCAGTCATTTTGACCGGCCATATTTTCACGTTTTCCTCCAAAACAGTGCCTGACTAGTGAAAACGTTAGCATGTATGGCCATACTGGTGCTGACCACTGCACCATTGCGTTTGCATTACAACTCTCATAATTTCTTTATTATTGATAGGAATTTTCGAAAACTATCTTAACATGAAATTCAAAGATTCTTATTTGAACCAGGTATATACATAGCAATCTTCATAAGAGCTTCTGTATTGTTTGAGCATGCGCCCTAAACGGCACTTGATTGGACGCTGAGTGCATGAAACATTTAAACTTTGTTTGCACAGGCTTATGTAACCGAGGAGACGTTTGGGAGAACTTGAGAGCTGATCAGTGCAAGCTCCAGACCGAAGGTCGAAGGTGCACATGCTCCAGAGTTCTCACAAACGTCTCCGAATGTTTCATGGAAACAGACTAATTCAAAGCAAACGTTTTAATTTTTCCTCTAAAGTATATTCACGATTTTTTATTGTTTGACTTCAGATCTGTTTTGCACAGGCTTAAGCCTGTTGTCCACTAGCCATTATCAGCAGGGCGTCGTAATGATATGCATGCGTGCTTGTGAATATTGACCATTAAATTCATAAGCACGCATGCGCCGTTACGTTTTGCACAGGCTTACGCAAACACAGCTATAGACCAATCAACGCGCGCGTTTTATTATGTTTATTTCATAATTGTCATTGAAGGTCGTTATGGCGACAGAATGGCTACATTCGCAGATTTGATCTCCACATCTACGAACATCAAATCGCATCGATCGCCAAACCACCGTTCTCTTTCACTTGCGCACCAATGCAACCCAAGATAAACTATCCAAGATTAGCATCGAGTATAAACGTTGATGTTCCGCCGTTAGAACAACGCTTATAATTTCTTTCTTTTAAGAATTCACTAAAAGCCGGAAGAAACATCATTACATCATTGTTTGATGTATCACCCCCCGTGAGAGGAGGCCTTGATGTTCGAAAATTTCTGTGGAAGTGCTGCCGCTTCTGTTGCAAATAATCACCCCAACACTTCTGTCCGGTAAGTTCTATCTCCAACCCCTGTCATGTTTCTTCCTAAGTCCTAACCTTAGCCTTCCCTAAAACTTTGTCCTGTAAGTTCTATCTCCAACGCCTGTCAAACGGTTCTTCCAGTCCTAACCTTAGCCTTTCCCTAAAACTTTGTCCTGTAAGTTCCATCTCCAACCCCTGTGAAACGGTTCTTCCTTAAGTCCTAACCTTAGCCTTTCACTAACACCTTGTGCTGTAAGTTCTATCTCCAACCCCTGTCAAGCTCTTCCGTAATTCCAAACCTTAGCCTTTCCCTAACACTTCGTACGGTAAGTTCAAACTTCAATCCATTGTTTGTAGATGTTGATCGTTCACCATACAAAACTTAGTAGTTCTACTAATCCTTTTCCCAGAATATATTCACAGTTTTCGACATTTCAAAATTTGTAACAAGAATATGTTTTCTTTTACCTTGAAGTAACCAACATGGCCGCTATTGTCATATCAAAACACTCTATTGTGCTTTAGTCACGTGAGAATATGTTTTGTCTTTATAGATCAACATGCAGTTATTCAGTTCTGATGAAAAACAGCAAATGCGTGACCTCATCAATACCATGATTACCTACAACATCAACTACCTGCAAGAGAGGAACATTGAGGGACAATATTCTTACATCTTTGATCCGTATGTACATCTCTATACCTTATTTTCCCTAAGGTCCTGTTTACATTATGAGCGGTTGCGTATTGAGGGAAACAGATCAGAGCATTCTAATGATTTTACCGGCGAAGTTTAATGATTTACTGACAAAACCTCTTTACATTTAAGAGTGGTTTAGTAATTGTTTGGGTGGTTTATTAGTGTTTGAAGGGTGGTTTGAGGGTTTAAAGGGTTTAATGATTGTTTAAATGGTTTAAGGGTGGTTTAAAGGTTGTTAAGGGTGATTTAAGGGTGGTTAAAGAGTAAAAGGGTTGTTTAAATATGAATTAATGGTGTTTTAAGGGTAGTGTAAAGTTGGTTTAAGAGTAGTTTAAGGTGGTCTAAGGTGGTTTTAAAGGTTGTTTAGTGGGGTTTAATATGGTTTAAGAGAGGTTGTAAAGGGTGGTTTGTGAGTGGCTTTAGCGTGGTTTAAAGGTGGTCTAAATTGTTTTCCAAATTGCTCACGACTAACCAATCAGGAGCAATTTTAAAAAGAAATTTTCACAGATGTTTCGCTTTTGCACTGGTGCTTCTTTTTCGCACTAGTATTTAGGAAAAATTACCCTGTTCTTAACCAATCTGAATTGAGAAATGTTATCATGTCTATTAGTAGTCTGTTTCTTCACTATACTGTGGTAAACTTCATTAACTGCCTTCGTTTATCAACAGTGGAAAATGAAATTTCGTCTCTAACTTTTATTTGAGGACTACATGATCATTTCTCATTGTTTTGAAATGAAAACGTATCACTGGAATGATAAAGAACTTCATTTTAGTGCCGCATTCATGTATGAGCGCAAAATAGAAGACCAAATGCACAATGGCTATTTAAAGTTCCATTCACTTTTTCATACCTTCTATACTTTTGTATTTATTAGCGGGCTTCAAAGCTGTATTTAGATTTCAGTTTTCATCAAATGAAATCATACAAAACTCAATCTTGTATTTTATGTTGTTTTTAACCAGTAAAATCGAGGAAGCTGTCAAATTTCCTGGTCTGCCACAGCATAAGCAGTTGACCTATGCAATGAAGCAGTTGATCGCAAGAGAGGTATGGCAATACTACAGATTTATATTCCTATTTAGTCTGTTGATCCTTGCGTCTGTACTAGTTAGCTCCTCAGTTAAATCGTTATTGAGAGCATGTTGTTCTGCAAACTTTTTTGTTCGAGTTTTTTGAACTTCAGTTTTTCTGGCAAACTTGAAGCCATAGACACAATTCAGAATGAACTGCAAGCATGTGGATGAAATTAAACTCTTCAATGTTGTATAAACCAAAAAACTGCGCCTTATGGCTTTTTAGTTTGAACATGTGCTTTTTGTAATTTAAATTCGCAATTAGCTACGAGAAAAAAAAGATTTAAAATTAGTGAGAGTTTCACCAATCTTAAGTTATAAATATAATGGAGAAACAACGAAGGTGTGAATCAAATAGAATTTCTTAAAGTTGTATAAAATAGGAATTACTCGCTTGTTTCTGTTAGTTTAAACATTTACATTTCTGCATTACTGAAGGGGCACGTTTTCACTGAATTTGAGCTGAGTTTTTATAAATTCATTAGTATTATATTGAGAGTGACAATCTTCCTTCTGCGATAAAAATGCGTGGATTGGACAAAGTTTAGCTAGGAATAAAAATGAATTAAAAATAGCGAGGTGTCATCGACGAATATTTAAATGCAAAGCAATGCTAGAATTGCTTTGCTCTGCTTGTTTGTCCGCGTTTCTCAAGCCAAAATTACAAAGTTCTGAAAACGTCAAATTCCGAGAGGAAAAACAAACTGAGGCTATGTATTACTAAGTTTATTCGTTCGTCCAGGTTGGTTTGGAAAGATGCGCATAACAGAAAAATGGTTTTCCGAAAATCCCGGTATGTACACGCTCCAAGTAGTTCATTTTATGTATTATGAAATAATGGCGACAATTTACTATATTATTGTATGTAGCAACGAAGAGAAGGGGAAGGATTGTAGGAAAGAGAAAATTGAAAAGAAAGTGAGTCACTATCAGCGAGTGATTGTCAGTCAGCTTCCGTTGTACTTCATTTAAAGCCGAAGGAATTGAAGTTAAAAACAGGAAGTAAGTGTTATAAAACAATGCAATGTATAGGGAAACAACATCAGATAAAGACATTAGACTGGAGTATAGGTGACCAGTTTCTACATCAGATCACTCCAGATGAAGACACTAGACTGTAGTATATAAGAGATTAAAGGTTTTTATTATTCATCTTCAGATTAAAAAGTAACGATGAATTCACATTGATTTTCTATATTTATCACACTATACTAAGAATTATATGTTAACTTTATTATATATATTTACAAGATCTAGCAATAAAAGATTGTTTATGGCGTTTGGTCTGAGATAAAATACTATAAGTATGACTGAAGTTTCAATATCGGATCACTCCAGATGAAGACACTAGACTGAAGTATATAAGAACTAAAGTTTCAACATCAGATCACACCTGATGAAGACACTAGACTGGAGTACATAAGAACTAAAGTTTCAACATCAGATCACAGCCGATGAAGACACAAGACTGGACTAAAAAGGTCTATAATAGCTCTTGGACAAGCACAAAACCATCAACTAAATGCTTAAACATTTTTCTATCTCAAGCAAGCTAAGGATTTTTTTGGAAGAGCAATTATCACCAATGAGCTTTCAGGTAATGTCTACATTTAATTCATTAAAAACATTTTTAGATAAATGATTAAAGTTACACGAACAGGTCTCTGTTTCATCTTTCAGATGATGAATCTCCTACTGACAGCACAAATTCACATTCTCCATTTTGGTTTAAGTTCCAAGAAGGCTTTTCAAATGCAGTTCGAAGACCAGTAAAAATCCAGGACCTCCTCTGATGAAGGCTTTAGTAAGTCAGCCTCGATGACGAAGTTCTTCAGCATGGCATTGAATTAAACAAGTACTGTTAGACAACTTAGTCATATTTTTCAGCAAACTGTTTGAATCGCCGGAGAAAAAGTTCTCCCTGAATGCAATTGGCCCAAACAAAAGGTGGACTAAACAATGATAATATCTTTTGTATGGAATCATCTTTGAGACGATTTCCATGCAGGCGGAGCTTGACTAATGTTTCTTTGCACCATTTTAGCAAGGGCAAAGACTATCTATACTGTTATGCCATTACTTCCCATCTGAGGTATTCCATTTATGAGTAGACGGCAATCCTGCCATTTCACTTAATTTGTCACCATGTCCATTAAATTACAGCCATTTAAATTCAAATGTTTCAAAGGTGAAGTTTTCCCTTAAGATATCAAGAATAATGTTACAGTATAAAGCAGTCATTGATAAGTTAAGATAGCTTAGATTTGTGAACTTCAGTGTCCCCGAGTCTACTACCTCCACGCACTCCAATTGCATCTTATGTTGATACCATTTAGTTCCTTGTTCTAATAATAATAAAATAACTCATTATTTATGTTATCATGTGGGATTTTTATTAAATATAAAAAGAGGCTGCCCAAACACTTTTCAGGGCCCTGGGGCAAAATTTTTGGTAGGAGCCTTTCTTCCCCCCCCCAAACCTTACAATAGTAAATTATACTAAAATTATACTAGGCAATTGTAATAGTTGATGTTTTGCTTTATGCTTAGTATTAAGCTGCTGTGCTTCAATATGACTTGTTTACTCATTCTTAGCACTAGCCATTATCAATACTACGGTTTAATAAAAACAGTAACTGACCTTTGTATGCAACTGGATTATCAAATGTGTCTATATGATTATAAGGTGTAGAATATGAAACTTAACACTAATACTACAGATACTGTGAAAAGTTATTCTTTTTGTGAAAGAGAATGATGTGATATTAACATACATCAATTAATGTCCATAGAAATTTACTTACTCATTATATATATATTAATGGGGAACCCTGGGCCCCAGGGCAAATTGGCCCTTTGTCCTCCTTTCTGGTGACCTTTATAAGAAGGATGCATGTTAACAAGTTACCTGGATTCTACCCAACATCTTTAAGATATATTGAATCTGAGCTTCATGCAATTCAATAGCACTAAAATGAGTAACAACAAGATTGTGAACTTTGCCTTTGTTCAAGGATGTCTTCCAAAAGGGACCATGTATCTCTGTCCACATAACAATCTATTTTTATTGATAATATTTTTACATTAGTCCCAACTTTGTTCAATTCAAGCCTCGTAATCGGCTTCATGTCAATTGGCAGGTTTTTTGCATCTGTAATAATTTTCCAGCCACCAACAATAGAAAGCACTTGTTCCATGCACACCTTATACAAAAAAAGTTTAATGCATAAGACCAGTGCTGTATGTGGGGTGCTTGGGGAGGAGCCCTTCTACCTTGAAATGGGTAATTTTAAAAGGGCACTATTGACAAAACATCAAGAGAGCCCCCTCTGAAAAATTTAGTTCTATAGCACAACATAAATTCACATAAGTCACATATGATATGAAAAATATATTCCAAGCAAGAATATCTGCTAAATTCAAGAAATAAGAATGAAAGCCAGCTATTGTGCCTGGAAAATTTTTCTTTAACTTCATATTTTTGTGCTGAAGGAAATTAAGCTTAATTTGATTGGGAAGAGGGCTCAGATTAAGGATTAAGGTCATAAGGCAATCTAGAGGCAACTTAGCTGACTTAAGGTAAGTTTTGGTTAAAAATCATTTAAAGTCAAAATACCATGTCAACAAAACTTTTGGTTAGAAATCATTTAAAGTCAAAATACCATGTCAACAAAACTTTGGTTAGAAATCATTTAAAGTCAAAATACCATGTCAACAAAACTTTTGGTTAGAAATCATTTAAAGTCAAATACCATGTCAACAAAACTTTTGGTTAGAAATTTCCACAGAAATTTTAAAGCCAAAAAACTTCAAAATTTGTTTTTCTGAGTATTTTGAATATTAAACTTATATATTTCAATCTATTCTAGATATAACCTAGAACTATCATGCATTACAATTCTAGCTGCATCTTCATTGAACAGACATGGTTTTATTAAAGTCTTTTAAATTCAAAGTAGCAACTGCATGTCCTCAGGGCATGACGGCTAATCTTTGATCAAGGGGACCCCGATCTAGATTATACTGTAAAGAAACATTTGCAGAGCGGTCTTTGCAAAAAATAAAGTTTAAGCACTAGACAGCGAAATAAAGGGCCCTTTCAATGTCAAGCACAGAAGTATGAAATGATGAAAGTGTA